GTGAAAATAAATATTTTTTTTAAAAAAAAAAAGTCACCTAATGCAGTTGTTTACACTTGGGATTCCTATCTTTACCTCTGCTTAGAAAAGCAGGTGATTCAGTAATTTTAAAAAATAAAATTTTCAGTTCTTGTTCAGAAACACTATAATTAAACATATTGTTTCTTTCTGTGATGCAATGAATTCAAGCAGATTATCCTGAACGATTCTTCTTTAAAGTAATGAAAGACTGACATCGAACAACTGTGAGAGGATTTTGTTTTACCTGATGTTTTGGGAAAGCTACAAAACAAGACTTGCCTAAATCCCACAAATACATTATGCTGAGCGTAAGCACTGCATACAATAGTCAAAATACTGATGTTTAAAATTTAACACTTGTGTAATGATTTGTAAAGCGTGTCTTGGTTTGTAAACTTCGTAGCGTTTTTAATATTAAGTATATTAGAATTTATTGCATATACTGGAATCATCTTTTCAATGTCTCTCCAGGAGGAAGGAACAAGAGTTTTGTCTTATGGCTGTTCCAGGAAAGGTGGCAGCTTTCCATCTGCCTCCCCTGCCAACTGTTGGAGAGATTATTAAACTCTTTCGCCTTAAAGCGCAGAAACAACTTTCCCAGAACTTTCTACTGGATTTGCGATTGACAGGTTAAATATTTTATTCTAAAATTTTTGCTACTGTGAGACATGTAACGTGGTTGTCTTCAGAATCCAGATTCTAGCTAAGGAGATGATGTTTGCATGATGACATCTGTCCAACTAATGGCAGGTCAAGGCTAAACCTTTAAAGACTTCTTTTAAAAGTTGCTTTAGTTTAGACAAATTGACTTTACTTATAAATTCCTAGACAATGTCTTTCTTTATAAATTATATAGTAATTTTTAGGTAGAAACTATATTCCTATATAAAATATGGGTTGTTGATTGAAGTGTAAAAATCCAAGCCTTAGTAGTACTTTTACTGTTCAGGTCCTTTTACAGTTTGCAAGTTTGATTAAAAAAATGAGTATTTTTTCCAGATAATTATGTATCATAGAAAGTACTGTAACTCATTGTGCAGTATAATTTACTATGTACTGTGGTTAAGAAGGTCACTTGTCTGAGTTTATCAGAAATGTTGTAGCTTTTTTTTGAACCAGTTACATTATTCTGAACAATACCATTTTCTCCAGGTTCATGTCAGCAATGGGTAACAAAGCTGGCAGTGTTCAATCAGTGGTGGGTTTCTTTGCTGCCCTAGTGGTGGCTGGGATTTGCAGTAATAAATGCAGTGCAGCTTCATGTAGCTGATGACTTGATTACATTTGAAGATTCAGGTTGATAAAGATTTAGGATATGAACATGAAACTCATTTCTGCTTCCTGAACAACTGGACTGTTACTGTGGAATAAAAATGTCTGCATGCATTTAGTAAAACCTTACAAGTAGGCAAGTCTTCAGATGTTTCTTATTTTTATTGCATACTTAAGAAGCTACGGAGTGAGCAGCATAATTTCTCTCAGCATCTTTTCTCCATGCTTCCTAAGGATCACTTTGATTTGTTAGTTACATTTTAATCCTTATTTTAATCCTTAATTTGTTTTCTTTTCTGTCTGTAATACCCTTCAATGTTGTATCCTTCTGCTTATGTACAGGTATTCTTTCCTCACCTTTCAACTGCCTCACTTTCTGTAACTACCAGTTGCCTGTATTCGAACTCTTACTTTACTCCAGCTCCTCCCTCATAAAATTGCTCTGTACATACTGTAGTTTTGGTAGAGCTTCACTGTATCTTTTTTACTTCTTAAATTTCCTTGAAACAGAGGTACTGTAGTGAAATAACCTTTATAAGGATAAGTAGTGAGACTTCAGGGTGTTGAACACAAGTGCTTACTTGCAGGAGAGTAGTACTGCTAGTTTACAGATGAGAAGTAAGTTATTTTTATTTGATTCTGTAATAAGCGACAATGTATATTAAAGATGTTAAACTGAAAATAGTCTTTTTTAAATAGTTGAGCATATCTTGTGGCATGAAACAAATCTGAATTCTGTGCAGTCTAACAGGCGTGTGATCATTTAACTGGGATGAGTTGCTGTTTGTGTCTGTTCTGAGATAAGCACACTTGTCCTTTAACAATAAACAATGAGTTTTTCTTAGTGAGCTGGATCTTCTGGAGAATAAAGGCTTAGTATATTCTTTGTGTCTTGCAGACAAGATAGTGAGACAAGCTGGTGAGCTGAAAAACACACACGTTTGTGAAGTGGGCCCTGGGCCAGGAGGAATTACCAGATCCATTCTCAGAGCTGGTGTTGAACAGCTCCTTTTAATTGAAAAGGATGCTCGATTTATTCCAGGATTACAGGTACCAACTGGAGAATAATTTGTATAAATGCATCCACAACCGTGAATAAGAATGTTTAAAGAACATGGAAAGGTTCCAAGTGTCTTGTTGAGATCTCAGCATTGAAAATAGGTTTGCTTCTTTGGTTTAAATCAGAGCTATCATTTGCTTGAAGATGAAAATACGCAGTATAGCAATTAATTGCTCCTGCTTTCTCACAGGCCTTTTGGGACCTGATCCTGCAACTGAGTTAATGCTGAGGCCTGTCTGGTTTTTTCAGGTTGAGATGTTTCAGGTGCATGTCACCATGCAGGTGAAATAGTAATTTGAAGGCTGAACGTAATGTCCTTTGGTCTTATTTTTCATTTTAATCCTAATAATTATGCTTTAAAATTTATAAAATTGTGAAAGTATATCTTCGGCTAATACAGTTTGATGTGGATTAACATCCAGATAGAGAAGAATAAAGCAAGCATTATTTTACATTTTCAGAAAAACACTCTTAAACTTTCGTTCTTTTCTTTTAAAGGTGGTATAAGTTCAGAAGTCATTGTGGCATTTTTGAAATGCCATCTACTTGTGTTGCTGTTAAGTTTCCATGTTTATGGAATATGGCTGTATAAATCTCGCAAGAAGAAGAGTCCAAAATCACTTCAGATTTGAGTGTTTGCTTGTGCGTTTACAGTCTCAGATTATATTCAAAGGGCTTTCCTTGTATGGCACTGTGTCTTCGGTAGTAAATCAGCAGTGGAAACAAATAGGTAGTTCACTTGAGAACTGCTACCATCTCTTTGTAGGACAAAACCAGTGTAAAATACGAATGAAACTGCTCATATCCTTAAACCTGAGTATGCATGTAAGTGTAGGGTTAGCCATGGATAATTTAAAGTATGCCATCGTGACCTTACAAAGTATGAAACTTCGTGTTTTCAATTTTCTTGAGTGGTGGCAAATCTGCGTTTTTGTTTTGGATTTTAAAAACTGGTTTGGGATTGGAGAAAATTTGAGATTAAATGACATTTGCTTTGGTTAACAGAGTTTTGCAAGTACTTAGACAATTTGTCTGATCTTCCAAAATGCAGGCTCTACAACAGATTCCTCTGAATAAAAGTATACCTTTCAGGGTCTATAACTAACTTTTGGTATGTAATTATCTTTACTGTTAAGTGAATTAATGTTAGTCATTGTTTTTAATTAGCAACCTCCTCACAGAGGAAATAAATATGTCTGAATGAGGTAATTGAATATAAAGATGCTATAACTCACTAACAGTGGATGTGAATGAACAAGAAATACTTTTCAACCATTAGACTTAAATTTTGTATTTTTTTTCCCCTCCAAATAAGATGATGCATAATAGAATGAACCTTTCTTTGTGATAATGTGGGTTGTAATACCTTTTTTTTTCTGGTTTCCCATTAAAAGCTCTATCAAAACCAAATGCTCATAAAAGGGTTGAGATTTGAATAACAGAAGATGTCAGAGATTAAAATAACAATCAGTGACTATAACTTAACAATTTCTCTTTAGCTCCTTACAAGATCATACAATCACAGAACAGTTTGGGTTGGAAGAGACCTTAAAGACCATCTAGTTCCAGCCTCCCTGCCATCCATGGCAGGGACACCTCCCACCAGACCAGGTTGCTCAAAGCCCCATCCAGCCTGGCCTTGAACACTGCCAGGGAGGGGCAGCCACAGCTTCTCTGGGCAACCTCTTCCAGTGTCTCACCACCCTCACAGTGAAGAACTTCTTCCTTGCAGCTAATCTAAATCTGCCCTCTTTCAGTTTGAAACCATTACCCCGTGTCATATCGCTACATGCCCTTGTAAAAAATCCCTCTTCAGATCGCTGTCGTGAAGCGTACAGCGTATTTCATTAACTGGTTTGCAGTCTGTGGTCTCTATCACAAAACTGAACTTGGGATCCTCTTTACTGCAAAGCTGAAATATAGTGATGAGCATATGTGTACAGAGAAAAAGTTTACACAAGCTGCGAGTCTGTCAGTTCTGTCTTGCTCTTAGAGAATCACAACCTCCCTATGCTATATGCCCTAGTAGTTGTTAGGCTGGAAAGATTTATAAGGAGAGAAAGGGTACGCTCAGCCAGAGAGTGGATTGAATATAGAATTCTTCCAGGAACACCATTTCGTTTTCTAAACTATGCCCTTTATATTTTCTTCGTGCCATTTTTGGTTGTGTGTGAAGAACAAGAGGATCTGTATGATGGAGAATTACTTGGCTCACGTGCTTGGTGCACAAGAGCTCCTGGAACTGTGTTGGCTGCACACGTTGGCCTTAGAGTGGAGAAAGTTTCAGTGTGTTTCTGCGTTTTTATGTCAAGTCAGAAATATACAACTGTGATTTTCTGCTCGCAAATTAAATGCAGTTCTCCATTATGTTGTGTAATACTCAAAAAACCTCAAGATCCTCTTGACCTGAAAACCATTGTTAAAAAACAATATATGTTAATCCATGATCGTGTAGGCAGCTGTCTGCTTCCTCTTACACTATTTTCCAACTTTATTGATCTTACATTATCTTTTATCCTGTTACAGCATTTATAACAGCTTCAAAGAAAGATTTGACAAATCATGGCAGCTTAGTGAATTTATATGCCATGCAATTGCTAGTGTAATGCTGAAAAAATGTGTGAAGTGGTTTGGAGTTGAGGTTAGGTTTATTTTTCTGTATGGAAATAATTGCACTTAAAACATGTAGGAACACTTAGTTGTTAGTTAAGCTTTTTTTTTTTAGTACTTTACACAAAATTTAGCTGTTTTGATGGTAAAAAATGCTTTTACTAAAAAAAAAAAAATCATGCAAACATTTTGTGAACAGTATGAGAAAGCAGCACTTTCCTTTGGCTCAGAGATCTGTGAAATGCTGTGCCCCTGAGCACATAAACATGATTCAGATTGAAGATGGAACTAACAATGCTGAGCAGTTTGTTTCAGCAGTTAAGCCACCAGCACTTAACTGTTTATGGGTTTGGATTTCTGTGCAAAAGCAAAATTGTTCTTTAAGCCATTTTTCATTATCCTGGCTTAGGAACAATAAATATCCCCAAATGTAATCTTTGTAAAAGTTGACTTTGCTTTTGAATTGTGCTGTTTGTACGTAGTTTCATACTGTAAGAGAAAAGATTAGTACAAGACTAAAAAATGTAACTAATTTTTGTTCTGTAAACTGACACCAGAAATTAAAGAATTGGTCATCAAACCACAGCCAGTTCAGAGTTTGCATTTCAGCCTTTACTAGACACTAGATAAGCTGCAGAAGTGGAATAGACAACAGAGTGGATTTTGTAATGTCTAAAAAGATAGACATTTTGGACATTTTCTCTACAGCTAAGTACTCGTTCCCTCATTTTTGGGTACTCCTTGGTTTTTATTGATCTGAGTTCAGACTACTACAGGGATTATTAAGAGAATCTTTTCCCCCTTTTTAATGTAAAAGAAAAAATGACTGAATATTTCTGCAGCCTCCTATCAGATATGGCTAAAATTGGATGATAGACCCTACAGCTGCAGGAGAGACAGAATAAACAACATGAGCCTTGTTTCCATAGGTAATGGATCTAAAAACTTTTCAAAACCTGCTGCTTGCATTATTACTTAAATCAGGTGGGGTCCTGTTAGTGGCCCAGGGTTTGTTAATCCTCCTTGTTGAAGAGGCTCTTGTCAGTCTTCTCTGTTTTAAGTTCTCCATTAAGGATTCTACAGCTGTGAATAGTAAGCATTTACAGACTCACACATTAAACTTCTTTCATTAGTGTTTGCTTTTTGAAAGTAAATACTTACTAATATTGTGCTCAGTTTTATCTACTGTGGTGCTTTTTTGTGTATTAAAGATAAATAGGTAGCAGCGGTTTCATTCCTTCTGTGACTGAAACTGTAAATCAGTTTGGTTAATACTCACTGTGAATTCTGCTTGCTTGTTCACAAACAGATGTTATCAGAAGCAGCTCCAGGAAAAGTACGCATTGTTCATGGAGATATCCTGACATATAAAATGGAGAAGGCTTTTCCAAAGCATTTAAAAAAGAACTGGGAGGATGGTTAGTATTTGGATTTCTTTATTTAAATTCTAAGGCTTCTGAGTTAGTCTTGGATATAGTTGGAGTTCACTCGGTGCAGGTGTTACTCTCTTCTGGTACATTTTGAAGGTAAGAAGAGAAGGATGACCTAACTTCCTTTCTAGAAGGAAACAGAGATCATCTTCCTCTTGTAAGACAAAACAGTGGAATTTGTGTGACATACACCTTAGTCAACAGTGAGGATCTTTATAGTTATTAACCATAGAGTGTCTTGACTGTAGAGTAATGACTCTTGGAAAGTATAAAAGCAAATCAAATGGTATACTTTCTTCCCAGCTTCTTCGTTTTTTTGGGAGAAGCCAGAAGCCACCACTGCTGTCATTCCACTGAAGAAATTTCTGTAACTTGCTTTGAAACTTTTAGGAAATTTGTCCTCAAAAATGTAGGTTTTCTCATTGCTTTGGTTTTAGCTGGATATCTGGCAAAAGTAGGCTCTAATCAGAGATTTTTTATTATTTTTTTTTCAAATCTGAGGGTATCATAGGACTCGATTTCACCTCACTTTTAAAACATAATGTTAGTAGATAAATCGGAGATGACCTCCCAGTCCCCTCTTCAGAATTTCTTAATTTGAAGTACAGTCACTGTCTGCAGTGCCTGAAGAATGGTAAACTACTTTCTTTTGCACTTTTGTCCACTTATATTGCAATCCTGCTTAGAGATAAGAATCCCTGCTAACGAAATGCCTGCTTTGAGTTGTACAACACGTACATACTGATAGGATCCAGATGTGTCACTTCTTACGGCTAAGTCTTGTACTTAGTCTAAGACTCTTTGATTTCCTTCTGTACAGAAGGAGAGCTCTGTCTGGTTTGAGCTAGGTGATTGTTTGGGGGATTATGTAAAGTGCCCCTGGGAAGAGTGTGTTGGACAGAGTGGCTGGTTGCTTTGTACCTAGTAGTCATAGTTTAAAATCATCGAAACAGTATTGTAGCTTTGCTGTTGTTACAGTTTTGCTGTTTTGGAGTAGCTCAGCTGAAATCTGCTGATCAGATGAAAATCAGCTGAAAGCTACTGATTTGTTCAAGTGTAAATGTGAACCAAACCTAACCACTTTTTTCAAACTAATTACTGAGAATAGTAACACGGTTTTGGCAGTGTAAGACAAGTATAAATGGAAAGGCTTAATTTTGGTGTGGCACGCTAAAAATTGTTTTCATGTTTTAAGTCTAGGTTGATATGCACGTATCTTTCTTACTTATGTGTTCTTTCGTGGCAAAACCTTATCCAAAACTTCTTGACAGTTGTTTTTCTTCCATCGAATGTTAACAGAGCCACCAGATATACATATCATTGGGAATCTGCCCTTCAGTGTTTCAACTCCTCTGATCATCAAATGGCTTGAAAATGTTTCCAAGAAGGATGGACCTTTTATTTATGGCAGGACGCAGATGACATTGACTTTTCAGAAGGAAGTTGCAGAGGTAAGATGTTAGTGTTTTCCCAAAATTTTACAGATGCTAAATTGAACAAAAATTTGTTTACATGCAACCGCTTGTTTAAAAGTACAAACCCAATCTTAGTTACCTTTAAAAAGAGAGGAAAGAGTTGGTTCAATTTTTTAGTTTGTATGGCCGTGAATTATGAATATTAATGTTGAGTTAATCATCTGCTCTGATCCTTTCACAGCACATACATTTTTTTTATTTTTTAAATTTCTTATGAAGGGATCTATTTCCTTGAAGTACTTAATCTGTTCTTTTCTGAAGTTTGATTTCTTCAACATGAACAGGTTCCACAGCACTTTCTTCCCTTACAGTCATTCATGCACCATTTCCTCAGCCTGTTTTTCTTTCCCTTTCAGTCATGTCAAGAAATACAGTCATAGTTATTTCCTTTGCGCTCTTAATTAAAAATAATTTTTAAAAAAGATACGTTCCTTAAAAAAACAACGAAAACACAGGGAATGTTGTCAAGACCATGGAAACTGACGCTGGCTTTTTTGAACAAGAGTTGGTATCAGAATTATATCAGAATCATATCAGCCTTGTCGTGTGTAAAAAGGCATCATTTGAGTCCTGTCACAGGGAGTCCAAGAGCAAACTGAGATTTTACTTTGCCTCAATAGTCAGAATCTCAAAGAAGGCCAAACTGATCTGCCATGTAGTAGTGTTAATTCTAGATCAGTTGATATTAGGTTAGCTTACTCCACAATGCTTTCAGACTTAACAGTTTATGTCTGTTGCCATTGCGTGAAACATAACATAGAGGCTGAAAGACTTTTTTTCTTTGTATTTATGAAAGTGGTATGGCTTCTTACCAGCATCTCAGTATGGCTTCTTACCAGCATCACACTTGCTTTAAAAAAAAAGAAAGAGGAATTGCACATCAGTCTGAAAACTGAATTTACATCTAATTACTCCAGTGTTCGTAAATATCTGGTTTTCTGTGTGCAACCTAAATGTGTGTGTTGTTTTAATTTTAATCTTTCAAAGTAAAAATTCCAGTTGGAAAATTATGCTGGGGGTTTTTTTGGTACAAAAATTAGTAATAATTATATATGCAAGTGGCATGTCTGCGGTCGTTTTTTGGGGTCATAGAAAACCGTATTGTGCTGTTACTACTCTAGCTCTGCAGTCAAGATTCAAGACATGTACCGAAGTATTTCCAGTAGGTGGCTGCAGTGAACACCAGGGACAAACATTTGGTATGAAATAAAGTAGATTTCTTAATTCAGTTCTGAGCTCATTTGGTTTCAGGCATTAAAAAAATCCAGCTCTGTTTTCCAGAAGCACTTCATGTCATTTGAGATTAGACCTTGTTGCAAAATGTGGCTAATGGACTGTGATATAAAATGCAAAGTGATGATGGGTAAGATGCAAAGTTCTGTGACAGCAGAGAAGAAAATGGCCTAGTACTGAGTGAGAGCATAAATGCTCTCTGTCCTTTATATAGCTGTAACGAGCTGCATACGCCATTGGTGACATGCAGATTATTAGTGCTGCTGCACCCAGGATAGCTCAATGAGATGCAAAATACCATGCACTCTTACCTTCCTTAGAACGCTGAGAAGTTAGAAACACTACAAAATTGGATATGTTGTTCAAGGTCATGCAAAGAAGCTGTGTTAATTGTTGTTGAGTTTACATTCTGGGATCTCTTAATTCTTGTTCTTACATCTGTTTAAACACCGATCTTCCGCTGACAATGAAAATGCTCATAGTTTCTGGTTTGCATTTCCATAATTGATTTGACATCATGAAAAACTTGTTTGAGAGAGACTTATTTTGTTTTATGATTAGGGGAGAAGATGATAATCAAGATATGTGTCTCTTTCTGGCCCTCTAGAGTTGCTTAAGTTAATGATCGTAATTTGGCATATACAGACATATTCAGTACCACAAAATAGAGAACAGTGTAATGCAGATAATAAATAAGTCGCTAATGATATTTGGTGTATCTATGAATTTATAGTCTTGAAAGGAAGATGTCTTATACTCAAAAGTTTGATGTCCTGTAAGCTAAGAGCCTAAATATCAGAGAAAGTCTCAGTGTATATGCCATAAGCGGAGCAGAAGGGTAAGGTGCTGTCATGGAATGCAGCAGTGTGCTTTGTAACAAATTAGGATAATTTGATGTTAACAGTAAGAAAATAAAGCAACATGCTGTGTTATTTGTGGTCAAGCTTGGTTTTGCTAGTATAACAGGTAGAAAATACCTTTGCCTTTCTTAACGGGTGGTATTTTCCTGCTTTTCTGTTTCCTTGTAGCACAGCTACGTTGGCATGAGTTAGGTCAGTATAGACCTATTACTACAGAGCACTCTGTTCTGATGTGCTTTGATTAAATTGATTAAAATTGTCGATGGGAACCAGCAATTAATGTTATATACTGAGTTCTGAGGCCTATTAAGGAGGATAAGACCAGATACCCATAGCAGTAAAATGGCACTTTTAAGTGTTGAGCACATCGTTTTGTCTCTCTGTAGTTTAAATTCGTAAAATTGTTACTTACTTTGTGGATAAGAATTTTTACCTTGCCCCACATTCCTCAGTGCTTCACCTCAAATCTGCCACCTGGGCCAGCTACTTCCTGGCCCACTTCCATTAGAATGGGTCATATTTCAGTTTGAATAGAAGATCTTTGTCAGTCTCTAATTTTGAGTAAAACTGGGCAGAGAGTAGTTTGCCTGAACTGCTCTGCCAACGTGATCTGCAGGCTGGGAGGTGGGGTGCTAAACTGTTAGATGTATAGAAGACAGGCATGTTGGAAGAGCAGAATACTTAATCATTTTATATCTAACACTGCTGTCTATTTAGAACACGAGGCAAAAGGTGCTAATAAAGTGGAAAAAAATTCAGATTTTGGAGGAGCAAACAGAAGAAAAATTAACATTATGTTTTCATAACTGATATAAGTTAAATATAAATACTTACGTCCTAAAAAAAAGTTACTTTGCAGAGAGCGGCTTATATAATAAATTATGTGTAATATTCCTTCATACAGTCAGCTTTGCCAGTCTAATTCTTCATGTAGGTTAATTCCTGTGACAGATTTTGCAGATTCGTTGATAATAGGGTTTTAATACGCATTTAGGAAAAGCACAATTATATCGTATAGCTTACTGAAGAACAAAACAAATAATTGTTCCTGAGGTAGTCATTGAGAGTGGTTGATAGTGAGCAGCATTAGAAGAAATGTCAAGTGCCACCTTGATTGTATTCTAGATTAGGGTTCAGAATCTTTGTTTTGCTTCATGCCTTGCTAATATTTTAATAGTGGAACCAAAATTGTTACCTAGTTAGCTGAACTCCAGCATGGTTTACTTAGTGCAGTTTCAGATGCTAACAATGTTTTAAAAGTAGAAAAAAAGAAAATTTTGAGAACTGAGGGGAAAACGCCTAGAAAAGTAAGTCAGGTTACAGAAGTATGGGGACAGACTTTTTACCTGGGGGCCAACTTTTTAGCAGGCCATGCTGCGATAGGACAAGGGGTTAGGGTTTTAAACTAAGAGGGTAGATTTAGCCTAGGTATAAGGAAGAAATTTTTACAGTGAGGGTGGTGAAGCACTGGAACAGGCTGCCCAGAGAGGTGGTAGAAGCTCCATCCCTGGAAATGTGCAAGGTCAGGTTGGACGGGGCTCTGAGCAACCTGATCCAGCTAAAGATGTCTCTGTTCACTGCAGGGGGTTGGACTAGACGAGCTTTAAAGGTCCCTTCCTGCCCAAACTATTCTATGATTCTATTCTATGAGTATCTTCCCAGCCTTTTTGTGTTCCTTGAGCAGTGCAATACACAAATA